CCAATCTTGTGCACCCTCTTCAAAAGATCATTGGTACATATTTGATAAACAATATCAGCCATATTAACTTCAACGAATTTGTTTTATGAACTTCAAATTCATATTATCTTATTCGAGGATCTATATGAACAAATGATAATTCATTCCACGTAACTTTTTCTCAATTGTTTATCATGTCTCCCCCTCATGTTAGAAAAACTAACTTGTTTCCTCAACTTTGAGAACTCATCTTTGTGCTTTATGGTGTTAATCAAAATATACACCGCACATCAATAATAATAAGATGAAATTATTTGGTTCCTGACCCTGAACCACTTGTGAGGGGAGAAAATAATATACTTTCGTATATAACGTATATCAAACTGATATAGATAACTTTATTCTCATAAGCAATAGTTTAGCTATTAAGTGGAGACACTCAATAAATTATTTTGCTAAACCAACTGTTATGTAAACCAACTTATCAAGATGAACTTCTTGAATAAAAAATCTAGAAATTATGCTCTATATTAAATTATTGAGCAAGTTACCTCGCAAACACCAGGTTGCGGGTTAATAATAATTGCACATGCAACCATCTCACAGATGCATCTTATATGGTATACATGGCGGGTGAATGAGCCCATATTCACCTTTGATATTTCCAGTATTCATGGAATTCAATCCCAATTTTAGTTGATCTATTAATTAATGAGAACAAGCAATATAAGAGAATTCGTAAAGAACTTTCTAGTTCTTTAATATTTACCCATGTAAATTCTCTATTATTTTTGCACATCATACTTGAATTAACATGGCTAAACCAATTATGCCAACTGGATAAATTATCAATATTGATAAACTTAAAGTTTACACAATGATGTCTGCAATTATGATAAATTATCAATATTGATAAATATCAAATTTTTCAATATCTCAACTTCATGGATTTCTCCAATATTTTAATTTCAAGTTTTGTGTGGAGTGCTGATGATTATTCTAAATCAAATGGTTTCAAATATAATTGTACTCTTTGTTTGTACATGATTATGAGTATTTGAATCAATATACACTGCTATTTGGTCTATAAATATTCTGAGCCTTGAATATTTGTTAGCAACAAGTAAATTAACAGATAAACTCATTAATCAAAAGGAATTGACGCATAGAATTGGTCAAATTGACAACTCAACAGTAAGAAAATAAGTAGTGCAATTTCATTAATTAAGCAATACTACTATTCTTGCAAAAACTAATCCTATTTAGAACATAGTTACATTAAAGGGAAAACCAACATTAATTAATTTCAATCTTCTAACCACCAAAACCATAGAGAGTACGGCCTTGCCTCTTGAGCGCGTACACAACATCCATAGCAGTCACTGTCTTCCTCCTCGCGTGCTCTGTGTAAGTTACAGCATCACGAATCACATTCTCTAGAAAGATCTTGAGCACGCCACGTGTCTCCTCGTAGATAAGTCCGCTAATACGCTTCACTCCTCCTCTACGTGCCAAACGCCTGATTGCTGGCTTTGTGATACCTTGGATGTTATCGCGGAGAACTTTACGGTGTCATTTTGCTCCTCCCTTTCCCAATCCCTTTCCTCCCTTTCCGCGTCCTGACATCTTCAATTCCTGCAAAAATCACTTCATTTATCAAAAATCAACATATAGTAGCTAAATTTCTTTAAATCAAAATAATCCCATTGCAAAACACTATCTGATTAATTAATAAACTAAATTAGAAAACTAATGTGAACAAATGTATAGAGTGAGAGAGAGAAGGATAGAATGGTAAACCTAAAAACAGTTCGAAGCTTAGAGGCTTGATTACTGAAGAGAGAGAGGTGATAATGGTGAGAGAGAGGCTATATTGTTGGGATATAGAAGGAGGGTGACGCTGGTGAGTGCTTCGATCTATGTCGTGATCACGTGAATTAATATTTGTCGTCGATGAGAATCTTTGACGGTTGAGATGAAAGCGACGAGGATTGATGACCTGGCACTCTGTGTTAGTTTCAATTGAGTATCCAAAATTTGAATGTTTTTCTCCTATAGTGATTTGTGGGGGTGGGGGAAATAGAAATATGGGCGGGACTGATTTGGCGATTTACCGCCATAGATGAATAGTTGAAAATGGGCCAGAAGCAACTGGGTTTATGGTTTGGGCCAACCATTCTCATTCATAAAAATTGCATGGGGCACCCTATTTGGTCGCTCCTTTTTAATTTGTAGCCGCTTTATTTTTCTTTTTGCACCCGTTAAAAAGATTATTTTGCCTTCTTTATTAAAAGAGTACTTTCTCTCCAAGTATACGCTAGTCCTCTACTGTCTCTGTCTCTCTCTCCCGTTATTCGCGTTTTTTTATTTGTTCTTCTCTGAAATCAAATGATTTTCGTCGTTTTTTTTGATTTTTCAATTGTTTGTTCCCCAATAACATTACGCATAATCACAGGTACATTGCATTAAATTTCTGGGTTTTAATTTAGTATTAATTTTTACGATTTAATTTCTGGTTTTGATTTTGATAGTCATGTATTTATGATAATATAGTTTCCTATGGTTTATTTTGATAAGTGCATTAGTTTTATTTTACGATTGTGTTTTTAAGTTTTTGAACGTGTGTGTTTTTGATGAAAATTCTATAAATTCTTCAGTGATTTTTGGAGACGTCGAAATTTTTAGAAATTTTGAGAGTTAAATAGATGATACTATTAAAGAGTGAAGTTTATATACTTCAATGATACCTTAGTTTTAGGAGGTGAAGTTTTATTTCGTGTTTTGTGTTTTGTGTTTTTTGTTATATTTTTTATGAACTTCAGCATTATTTTGGAGTTGAATTTGTGTTTTGTTTTTTGTAAGAACTACAGCATGTTTTTGCTGAATGTTTTGTTTTGTAACTGGTGAACTTCAGCTCTAGGAGCTGAAGTTTTTGTTTTGTAACTGGTGAACTTCAACCTTCTTAGAGCTGAAGTTTTAGCTGATTTTTTTGATGTTCTACTATTATTTTTTGTATCTTTTACTTTTTTTGAACAGATGGCATCTAGAAAATCCAAATCACCTATAAATCCTAAAGCACCTAAAGATCATAAAGCAGCTAAAGCACGTAAAGCAGCTAATGCACCTAAAGATCCTAAAGCACCTAAACAACGTATAATACCCCCAGGTCCTTTAGTCCTTGCTGCTCCACCTACAAAGCCAGGGGATAGATATTATGAGTTTCGAGATTGGTTTAACTGTCGTGGTTACTGGAAGGGGAACCACGATTTGAAGAGTTTAATTGCAAGTTTCTTGACTCCTGCACAACGGAATAAGATTAATAATGGTGCATTTCGATATATTATGGCTATGGAGAATTTCAAATGCAGCATGAAGTTGGTTCATTGTTTGTGTCTTTATCGAGTATATCCGGGCTCGGGGTTGAACGGGTAATCGAGTTTTGGTTCGAACCTCGGATTTTGACCAAGCGGGTTCGACTTTTTGGGAAAAATGATAGAACACCTATAATTTAGCATTGGGATTGAATTCTTTAGCATTTATTGATGTTGTTAAATTAATTTGGGTTAGATACAAGTAAATTGGAGGCGAATTCTAAAGGAAAAGCGGTGTTTGAGCCTTGAGTTGGCCATGGAAGTTCGAGGTAAGTGTTTGGTCTAACCTTAGCTTGAGGAAATAGGTGTTGTGCCTTATTTGCTATGTGTTAGTGTAGTGTACGACGTATAGGTATGGTGACGAGTATCTATATATTGGTGTCAAGCATGCCCGTGGGTCTTAAATTGTGATCGTTGTGTTTCTTAATAAGTACTACGTATGCCTAAATTGTTGATTATCCATGTTGAGTAAGATTTATGATTTTCTTCTTAATATTTGGTTAGTGTTGAGCATTGGCACTAGTTGAGGTGAAATTGTGAAGTTGATTATTGGTACAAGTTTGGTTATAGCTGATTCCCTTGGCGGGACGTATTTAATTCTTATTGTTGATTCCCTTGCCGGGATGTATTTATACTTATTGTTGATTCCCTGCCGGGATATTGTTGTTGCTATTGTTTGGGTGAGGAAAGAGTGATAAAGCACGAAGGGTGATGCCGTACACATTCATATTTATGCATATGGTGAGCAAAAGTGATAAAGCACGAAGGGTATGCCGCGCACATTTCTAATATTTACATGGTGAGGAAGAGAGATAAAGCACGAAGGGTAATGTCGTGCACATTATCATTACTAGATTGCATTGGTAAGGATTGAGAGTAAACGCATTAAGGGTGATGCCGTGCACTATTGCCTATTTGTTATGATTTCTTGTTGTTTTCGGTTCAATTGCCTTAATTGTCTTATTCCATTATCACTGTCATTCATTATGTTGGTATTTCCCACACAGCATGTTGCCCCTGGCCCGTTACTTTTGCATTACTTCTGTTACTGTTATTCTGCTAGGTACTGTGTAACTGCAGGTTAATTATTTGTTGTGTCCTATCATCGTCACTACTTCGCCGAAGTTAGGCTCGACACTTACCAGCAGATGGATCGGTTGTGCTGATACTACACTCCGCACTCTTTTGTGCAGATTCCGGTACTGGAACATACAGACCTTAGCTTGGGGTTGCTGTCTTCAATCCATCGGAGACCTGAGGTAGTACTGCAGGCGTCCGTAGGCCTTGACGTCCCCTTCCTACCTAGTTTCTTTCTGCTCTTTTCTATTTCAGAGACATACATATATTTATTTTATTCAGACCCTGTTTGTAGTATTCTTAGATAGTGTGTGAGATTGTGACACCAGTTCAAGGTGGTTTACGTTCATAAATACGTATTGGTATTAGTTTAATTGTTAAATTTCGTTCTTCCGCTTTATTATTTTACGTTGTTTATAATTTGTTAACTTGCGCTTGTTAAGAGGTTAAAAAAAATAAAAAGGATAAATTAATCGAAATAGTTAGCTTGCCTAGCTTTCACTAGTAGGCGCCATCACAACTCTCAAGGGTAGAAAATTCGGATCGTGACAAAAGGCCATATAGTACAAAATATCCTAGTAGTTTATACAACCACAATTTAACCATACTGAGTATTTGGGGCCTGGACAAAAAGATGGCTAGGCCAGTCATTACTTTCAAGTCTTTCCAATAGCAGTTCTCAGACATTTACATTACTTGGAAGATTTATAGAAGAAAATTTTGAGGTTATGCACAAATATTGCATTAACAAACTTTTGACCCAAAAAAAGGACCCAAAAGTCAAGTTGCTTCACTACTGTCCCTCCCCCCTCTTTGCAACCTTTTCAGAATATTTGCCTGCAAAATACATTATTATGAAAGTTGTTACAACATCTGCTAGGGAGCCCCATTATAATGTGTTCAATATGACATCCTTAGTAATGTTTTATAATATCAAACTATAACAAACATGTACATACCTTTTACGAGAATAATAACACAATTATGAAAAATGTTATACAGAAACCGTAAAACTGAAGGGGCTTATTCGTAGTTACCTTATTATAAGTGACATAATTATATAAGTATTTATTTGCACTGCTGAAGCATAACACTTAAACTCGACAAAATAGATTAGAACTAGAAGGAAACTTACAATGGAAGTGAGCTATAGGTTTTTCTCCATTTTTGATGAGTTCAAACTTGTAAGCATCTCCTACTTGGAGACCATTTACTGTTCTGAATTTTGACCATCCACTTACAATTCCAAAATGACGTCCTTCTCTCCCTAGCCACACTGACCAAGATCTATCTTCTTCATTTTTCAGAATCATCTCACACTTTCTATCCATCAATCCATTTGATTTTAAAAAATCCAGTGGAAGATACTACCACACAATTTATTCCATTATGTAGAACAAGTTTGATCAGTTGTTATTACAAAAACAAAAAAGGCAAAGAAAAGGAATATAACTAAAATAAGTTCAAGCATGCACTTACCAAAACTGACTTCTTGGTGCAATAAGGTTTAATGTTTGAAATAAAATAAGGAAGATGAAGATCATGACCATCACCAGAAGTTGAAGTTGAAGTAGATACTTTTGCATTGAGAGGACTCATGTTTGAGGGCTTTTTCCTAATGTCTGTTGTTCCAAATTAATTAATCATGTTGAAATGAAATGAATAATTAGAACAGAATATGATATGAAAATAAATTTAAATAGTTTGAATTTGAACTTGCCTAGATTCTATTAAGTGAAAAATGTATAACTTAACACACAATTTAAACAACCAAAAAAAAAAAAGAAGGGATTCTACACATACAGAATATGGAAGTGCATATGACAATAAAAGAGATTAACAAAGAAATAAGAGGGGCTGGTTATAAGATGAGAAACTTGCCTTGAAACTCCCTGATTGGAGTCCCTCCATTAGTAACAACTTGAAATTTCCATATTGGTATTTTTCCATTAGTAACAACCTCAAACATTATACGATCTCCCTCCTTTAAGCAATTATCAACAATGAATTTACGCAATCCATCTCCAATTATATAGACTCGAGGTCTACGACTAGAACTTAGCTTTAAATTCCACGACCTTTGTCTTCCATCTCTTATAATCAAATCGCATTTCTTGTTTGTGAGACCATTTGCTTTTGCAAATTGTTGAGGAAGGAACTGACATGGTGTATAGCCATTTGCAAACATGATTAAATAGTCTCTTTTTCTTTGAATATATAACCAAAAAAACTAAAGAGAAAAAAATAATAAAAATGGTGCACATATGCTTCTTTTAGCCTGTAAAGATATGACGCTTGGGCCTAACTCAACCCCAAAAACTAGCTCGTGAGTGTAGGACTGCAAAGTCCATATAAGGAAACCACCAGCCCATTTTCCAACAAATGTAGGACTCTACCCAGGGGCAGATCTATGTAGAGCATTGGGGGTGGTAGGCCACCCGTACACTCGGGTAAAATTTCATGTATGTATTGATAGTTTACACAACAAAACCTATATAAGTAAAAGGTGGCACCCAGAGTCACTAATCTGATCCTTAGCCATGGTTAAAGTGCGAATTACCCATCTTTATTTCTTTTAATTCTTCAAGCTTCATTTTTGCATTTCCTCTCTCTTTGTAGCCATTTTTATTATTTATCGAATTATATATTTGCTTCCTTTTTGTTTTTCTATATATATCTTTCTCTTTGTATCTGTCTAATATATTTTTTCCCCTTGATTTTTAATTTTTTTCGAATGACAGAATCAACAGAGATAATACTAATCTAGCTACATGTAGATTGAAGCGGTGTATTTGTTTATTTTAATTTATCTTTTTAATCATATTATTCAAGAATTTGAACCGAGAAAATTAGATCACATTGGACAAAACTTATTCAACTAGATGATAACCTATTTATTTATGCACCAAAAATCTTGTACATCAAATTAAATTGATTCAAAATAGATGGAATTGACCAGAACCGAATTAATTTGAATGAATTCAAAGCTGATCAGACCAACAAATGTATCCTAATCCAATCTACTTCGCTATTGGTAAGTTTGCATTAAAATAGTGGTAACCGTAGTCATATCCTGGATGAATTGAGTTTCAAGACTTACCAAGAAACCTTTCGAAAGGCAATAGGGTCTAATAGTGCATACAAAATGAGATTGACCAAAAGGCAGCTTGTCAAGAGTAGTTGCTTCTGCATGGGAAGAAGCCTTGTTTGACAACTTGATGCTGGGGCTTGCCTTTTCTGTTACATTGTCAAGAAATTAAATATGGAAAATTACACACAATGAGAGCAGATTTCTTGTTTTTTTGTTAATAATAAAAGAGGGCCAAAGCTCATATTTGCCCAGATGATCGTTTATGCGTTCAGGGGCGGATGTATAGAGTACTCGCGCCGGGTTCATCTGAACCCGGTACTATCGACACAGAGCATAACTTTTTATATAAATACTACTCATATAGTAAGTCAAGTGCTTAAAGTATTTTAGTTATAGTTTAATTTCCATAACAACCAGGCCTTAAAGACTTCACCTTCGAATTCATTCTTAGAAGTCTCTTCAACAGTATGGACTTCTTCTTGCAAATATTCTCTGACACTTCCACTTGAATAAAATATGGTAACCTCAAACTCCATGTTTCCTTCATGTCTGAAAATCAACACATCTCCTAACTGCAAATCATGTTGTTGCGCAAAATCAGCCCAATCCGCTTCGAATCGACGGCCGTTCACCTTCACCCGCCACTGCTTGCTACCCCTTCTAAGTATTGCATGTTCATTCTTATGTCCCTTCAGGTACTTCAAGAAACCTACAGGAATTTTCTGCAGTACAACAAATATGTGTGATTAAAATAGCCATGTCACAAAGTATGATTCATATCTTTTTTTAGGACGTGACAATAAACTATTACAAGATCTCTCACAATATTCCCCCTCCTTCACCTTTATATAATATACATATAGCAGAATAATAATAATATATAGAAAGATGAAACAATTAAAAGTATAATAACTTACTAGACCATTCTTGAAGCCAGGCAGAATAGGTTTGAAAAAATGAGGTTTATTTGGAGGGACTATTTTCATGGCTGCCAGTTAAGGAGATGTAGTTTCTGTAGAATAACACTACAGAGTTGCACAGAAATTAACAAGAAAGTTACTACCGGAGTAAATAAAGAAGGCAGCTTTCTGATATAGGAAATAGGAACCAATTAATATCATTGAATAACTCTGCACTTCAATCAGGATATTGATCTAACAACACTAAGAGCCTATTTCGCCAAGCTATTGGGAGGCCAAAAGTACTTTTTTTTCTTTAAAAAAATATTGGCCATAATAGAAGTACTTTTGGCCAGTTGCAGAAGCAGTCTTTTTGCTTTTGGGAAGAAGCAGAAAATTTTAGCTTCTCCCAAGAAGCAGAAGCACAAAATTAATTTATTCAAGACAAAACTATCCTCACTATAAATTTATATTTTTCAATTATCCCTTATTGATTTAAGGATTTTTTTTCATTTTTATTTTTAGTTTTTACCATTCTTTTAATTTAAATATATCATATACATGAATCATATTTTAATTTTTCAAATTCTTTATTGACTTTTCTTGTTTTTTATTTTTTCTTTCTATAATGTCTCGTAACTTTCAAAATCTTCTTCTATTTTTTTTCCACACTAAAGTAAATTTTATCTACATCCTTCTTTGAATTATCAATTATCTTCTTACAGGTTATCATTTATAACTCCCTCTCTTATAGGCTATTAATTCCCAAATTTTTAAAACAGTTATCAAATCCAGTTTGTGAAAATTACCTACAAATAGGTAATAAATTTATAATTGCATCGCATAATCTATTTATTATTAAAAGAAGGAGAAAAAGCCTCCAAATTAAGCAAAGTGGAAACCTCACAATAAGCACTTGGCAATTTAGGAAAAAATTAGTTTGGTTAGGTAATAATTTTGTTTTCTGAATTTAAATTATGCATTATTTTTTGTTAATAATTAGTTACTCTTTTTGAATTTGAATTTAGACATACTTAATTATTATTTTTTACGAAAACAATAATTTTTTATATATTTAAAATCATTTCTATTTTATTCTCAATGCCATCTTTCAAGTTTGACACTTAGAATCATCTTGTTACGGCTACCATAGCTATACAAAATTTCACCCGATGATATTCTTCTACCGATAAGGAATTAAACTATTAGGCTAATAAAGATACTACTGCAGAGATTGATGAAGGGGATGTGTCTTCTGGTATTCCTTCAGAAATGCAAGGCAAGTCTTCTACTAATATGGAGGTGTTGTGTGATAGAATTAGAGATGAAATTATTGAGAAATGTTATTATGTGTGAGCGACTTTGCTTATTATTTCATGGTGGTTTACCAATACATAGTAATTGGTGGAATATACTTCTAATTCATACTGAATGATGTATTTTGATTATTCAAATTATCATGTAAACAATAAGTAATTATACTAGATAATATTATATGATTTGGTATAACTATATATGTTATATTGATTTAGATTTTAATATGTATGTTTACTTTATATTGTATTTTTTAATTAAATAAAACAAAAATAATAAAAGTCCCTTACGATGAATATTAAAGTTTATTTTTCTCTTTAAAATAATTATAAGACTTTGGTACTTTTCTTTTTGGTAATTTGACACTTAAAAGTACTTTTAGAAAGATCGGCCAAACACAATTTGTTTACCAAATATTGCAAAAAATACTTCTTAAATAAGTTGACCAAACACAAACTGTTTTTTTCTAAAAGTACTTTTGGATAAAGCACTTCTCGAAAAAAGTACTTTTCAAAATAAGCAGTTTTTGACAGCTTGGCCAAACGGGCTCTAAGCCTTAGGGTCGTTTGGTTTGAATATAAATTATGCTGAAAATAATTATATTGTCATTAGTTATATTTGAATTAGTTATCATAGCATTATTATTTATTGACTGTTTGATATGTTGTATTAATTTTGGGGTTGTCAATTTTCTTGTTTTATTCTGGAATAATTTATCGTGGGATTACTATTCCATCCTCTAGCCTGTATAAGTTATTCTGATACTATTTTTAATCCGGAATAATTTATTTTAGGATTAGTAATCAAATAAGGAATAAGACGGTAATTTTTATTGCAAAATTATTTTGCTTATCGTCATGCTAAACGAACCCCTTAAGGTCACTTCAGAAATGAAGAAATATGTAAATTGTTCAAAACATGTATAGTTGAAAACATATATATTAGCCATTTCAAATTACATGATGATGGTATTTGATCGGCATGAAATTTTGAAACAATATTTTTTTCAAAAAAGTTTTGTGATATAAAACTGGCCATAAATATTTATGAGCTTATAGATTATCGCATTAAAAATAAAATGAGAAACTTAAATTAAATATTTTCTGAATATAAAAGTAATATTCTTTTTGGACCAATAATATAAATTAATTAGGACGGAAGAAATATGCATTAGCCGTCTAATAGCCCGTTTGGCCAAGCTGCAAAAATTAACTTATTTTGAGAAGTGTTTTTCTCAAAAGTACTTTTAGTGAGAATCAGTTTGTGTTTGGCTAATTAGTTTGAAAAGAACTTCTGAGCAGCAATTAGTGTTTGGCCAAGCTTTAAAAAACTGCTTTTAAGTGTATTTTTCTCAAAAGTGCTTCTTAAAAAAGTGCTTTTGGAGAGAAGCTACTTTTTTCTGCTTGTCCAAAATTGCTTCTGCTTCTCCTTAAAAGCACTTTTTTTCTTTCCAAAAACTTGGCCAAACACCTCAATTTTTTGCCAAAAGTGCTTTTGGCCAAAAAAAAGCACTTTTGACCAAAAAAAACTTGGTCTACGGTGATACTTTACCATATAGGATATATTTAGTTCATTTAAAAATCAGTATATGTAAACTTTTATTTCAAGATCTATCGATTATGTTTTTGACAGAATAAGATGTACAAGTATCATTGGGAAGTGGTAAACTCTCTACTAGAAAGTAATCGTTGGAAAGTGAAACAGCGTTGCTGGCAGTCTCCCCCATCCATGCAAAATTAATCATTACTCTTAACCCCTTTTTGTCAGCCTATATTAACCTCTCAAAGCATTTAAGAGCCATCGAATAAAGCATTAATAATAGTGCAATTCAATCATACTAGCCATAAAAATAAATCGGAAAATATGTGTGGACAAACTAAGAATGGCTCAACTGTCCAGAATGGGGTATCATGGTAACTTCGCACGGCTTTTGAGGGCATAATGAATATTTAAATATTTTTGTTTTTCGGATATACCCTTTAGTATATTTGTTTTTTAATTTAATTTTTTCATTAGTTTAATTGTCTTACCTTCCCCATGCTTCTTTCACATTTACACATGCATGCTACACTACTTTTCATAAAGCAATTTATACTCATATACATATACTATATCAATTAAACGAAATAAACTAAAATATACGCATAGTATACTAAAAAAATACGATTAAACTAATATATTTTAGTTTATTACTATATCACTAAAATAATATTGTATTACTTTCTAACCCTAACACTTAAATATATAGTGCTTCAACTAAGAAGCCACTACAACAAATATGATTTTCAACCACGAAAATATTAGCTACAATAAAAAATTTGTCACTAATTATCCATTTTTGTGACTAAAATTATATTTCGTACTTAAATACACGAGGCACATACTTTTAGTGACAAAACATAAATTTTATAGCAAAATTTTGTCTACTAAAGTTTCCCACAAAAAAATAAATTGGCGCCAAATATTAATTAATATTAGCCACAAAATTAATATTATTGGTGATAAATTAGTTTCGTCACTAAATGTTGTAGACAATTGGTGACAAATAATTGTTCGTCTTAAAATTAGTTATATTTTCGCTACGAAATAGTTTCCTCAATAAAAGTTTTATATTTTTTGCAACCTTAGTTTTTGTCACTAATAGCATAAACAAATTAGTGACGATCGGTGTTTCATCTCTATTTTACCTATGAAATTATTAGGTATCATAAAAAGTTCATCACTGTTATTATCTTTTTGGAACAAAAATTAGAGTCGTACTTAAATGCACACACACATACATTTAGTGAAGAAACAAAAATTTCGTAGCGATAGTTTTATCTACTCAAGTTTTCCACCAAAAAAATGGATTGTCGCTAGTTATTTAGTAACATTAGTCACAATATCTAAAGTTACTGATGACAAACTAGTTTCATATTGTAGGCAACTAGTGAAAATTATTATTTGTCTAAAATTAGTTATATTTTAGGCTTTAGCGGTGAAAAAGCTTGGTGACTAAGAGGGTGTTTGGCTAAGCTTATAAGCTGGTCCACTTCCATGTAGGACTTAAAGTCTCTTTGTAGAGTCCCTATGCAACCGTTACACTTCCCAGTAGCCATATACGCTCCTCCATGCGGACGTTACACATCCTAGCAGCCCCTTCCACTCCTCCATGCATCTATTACACTTCCCAATAGTCCCTTCCACTCCTTCATGCAACCATTACACTTCCCAATAGTCAATTTCACTCCTCTATGCACCATTACACTCCTCTATGCAACCATTACTCTCCTCCATGACTACAATTAATTATAGAAGCTTGTCTTTATCCATCCGCCTATACAGATTTTGGATTTTTTTTAACTTCTGTCATATAGTGGCAGTACACTTCGCATATTTTGGATTTTTTTAAATTTTTTTTTTTACACTTCTGCCATATAGTGACAGTGCACTTCATAGGTTTTATCTCATAGTCTTAACCTTCATCTTGGTGGTTGAATTCTAATTAATAACGGATCGGTCTCCAAAATTTTGTAGTGGTAAATATAATTTTTGATTTTTCGTGTTGATTTTTCCACTTCTCTATGAGCAAAGTAAGGTCGATTTTTAAACTTTAAAAAAAAAATAATCTTCCTAGTTTTGTTCTTGGTTGTAAAAGGATAGAAAAGAATAGTGGGACTTCTGCACTAAATATATTGTTAATGATTTCTCAATTTTAATTGGCTATTTTTAAACCAATAATATTCTTAAAATAAATAAATATAACAATAATAAATGGAAAAAACACAGACAATATTATAAGGAACAATCATATTAATCCATTACTTTGATCCACTTGAAGTTAGTAAATATAACTAAAGAGAAGAAATTATCAAGCTAAACATAAGTTTATCCTAGCACTTCAACAGAGAAGATCACAGCCCCTGATGTA